AGTTCTTCAAGTGTAATGATTTTATGAAATCTTGTAAGTCTTTTTTTTTCCCCCCTCACCTCTCACCCTAAGGACAAAACTCTCCAAAGTGAGTGTGGTTTCTCTGGGTAATGTCATCCTTGCTTGTTCATCTGTCTGAAGCAATTACTGTGGCTTCCTCAGGGATTATTTTTCAGACAAAGTGTTGACATTTTTCCCCAGTTGGGCGTCAAGTGTGTACCTGCGGTGGTAACTTCTGAGCGGCAGAAGCCTAAGGAGAGGAATGCCCTGCGGTTAATGAGGTGTTGGAAGACAGCACGGCTAAATCCGGCATTACGCTTTCCAACTTTCCAGTTTAATTAGAAATCTGGATCTCCTGGTCATGCATTCATTCATTTTGTGACTTGAGTGACAACCCAGCTTTTCACAGGGAACGCGACCACAATGTTTAAGGAAGGTGGTGATGCCGTTGGCTATCCACATCGCTCTGTCTTGCCCAGCTTTGTGTTTGCCATTGGAACATCATCTGTAGCCTCTCCCAGGTGCCGGACCCGCCAGAGCAGCAGTGCCAGGGACGTTGGTGGTGGCTGGGTCCTTCTCTCATCCTTTCTCCTCCTGGAGCTCATTGACCTCAATCCGGGGTTTTGGCAGATACTCAGTTCTTACCGGACACTGCCAGGTACTGGTTTAAATGTCGAACTTCGCAACTCTCATCCACTGCAATGAAGCAATCACAAGTTCATAGCAGTGCAGAAAGTAGAGACGGAGGGGTTCGGCCAGTTGAGGGAACCGTGTCCCTGCAGGTGTAGGATGTGGGCACACGTGAGGATGATGATGATAGCCGCGGGGTCTATCCCTCGTCAGCTGAAGGGCTGCAGGGAGCCGTGCGTCTGCTCCTCCCCACCATTGGCCTGAACCTTCACTGAGAACCGAGAGAGCGTGTTTTACCTCACCGTTCAGGTCACTAAAGGCGTGTGCATGGTTTGTGGTGGCAGCCGAGCTGATGGGGCATTACTCATTCATCTTTTGCCATGGGATCATGTACGCTTGGTATAAGTTACATGATGTGTGCTTAGATGTGTAAAATAAGGCAACATTGGGAAACAATCAGCAGTGTTTGCCAGGTTAGGGATAACCAGCTAGCTTACCTGCGATATGAGGATATTGAGAAAAAAAAAACAGTTATCCTACTGCTGTGCTTAATTTCTTTTTTATTTTTTTGGGGGGGTGGCAACGTACCTGTGCAGAGTAGAATTTTTGCAAGCATTACTTTCTTCTTTCTTTGAATGAAAATGTTTTAGTGGGTATATACAGTAAAAATTTGACTTTTTGGTTGTCGGGGATTTTAAGTGAAAACTGGAAATCAGTATTTGTGGTCCTTCAAGCATTCAGTGTGCACATCGTAAAGACCTGCAAGACTACACGTCTGCCTCCCCATGGGCAGCTGTACGGCATCTTCGCTATGTAAAGGACAAGGGGGGCAGCTGGCATCCCGCAGCCCCCCAGCGGGAGCAGGAATCACCTTTTCCCCTTGACATCCACGCGGTTCCCCCAGAGGACAAACAGCACCGAAGGGCCGCGGCGATGTGGAGGTGCGCGGAGGGTGCCGGGCGCTGGCGGGGCTGATGCCCATGGGCGGGTGATGGTCCCCGCAGCGCCGGGCTCTGCGGCTGCGGTGCTGCCAAAGCTGTCCCCTGCTCCATCCCCGCCACGGCTCCGTCATTCCCGTGCTGGCTCCCAGTTTGCCTGGCAGGACAGGAGGATTAACTGCGATGCTATCAGTGCCAAGGCTGGGGGCGGGGGAGGAGATTTCCGAGCCAGCAAGTGCAAAAGTTCAGGAGTACAGTAATTAGCAGATTAATTCTAAAGTGCAGTAATTAGTGGCTAATTACTGCTGCAGAAATATGCAAGGCGTAGTGCCTTTTATTCCTGTCTCCTGTGTAGAGATGGCTTATTTGGGGTTTGTGGGGAGCGGGGAGAGCTTGTCCCACGTCCCTGTCCCGGGTGGCAGGAGTGGAAATAGTGCAGAGGGGAGCCCAGGAGGGACGCAGGGAGCCCATGGAAGCCCCCTGAGGGCGAACTCCATCTGCTCTCCAGAGCACAGGCCCCAGGGCTGTGCCAGAAATGTGGACTTTGGACTCAGACCGCTGGCAAGGTGCCGGGCTGTGACTGTCCCTCCGTGGCGTGGGGCCAGGCAGGTCCCCCCGGCTCTCCAACCCGACACAGGTACCCCCTCACGGGCTCAGCGCAGTGGCTGGCGGGGGCTGCCAGCTCCTTTATTATGTGTGAATCAGGATGAGATAACCAATAAACCTGCGCTGCCTCTGCCTGCGGTGGGGCAGATGACCGTCCGTGGCCGTGTTTGCTCAGGAGCGATGTGTGGCTGTGAAAACCCTCCTGCAGCCACAGCGAGGTGCCACCCGCCGGGGCAGGATCCCCGCGGTACCCCAGGTGGCAGGAAAAAGTAGATTGCAATATGTAATTAGCGGACCCTGCAGGCCTTGTCTGGCTGTTCGCAGAAGGTGCGGAGTGTGCGCGCACAGGGAGCCCCAGCTCGGCCCTGGGTTGTCTAAACAGGAAAGCTGTTTGTGTTCTCTCTTCAGAAAGTTCAGTGTGGCAACGTGAGCTCCGTTGTTCATCTCTGAAACGCACCGTGTACCTCATCTCGGAGTGAAAATAGTCACTTTGCAAAGCTGGGGAGAGCAGCTGAAATGCTCCTGCCAAATACATACTTCTGCAGTTTCCAAGGGTCTATTATGCAAAAATAAAGGTAAAACAGATTAGATATTACCCACCTTTTCCAAACCAAACAGGAGCGCTTTTCACCACTGAACCAGAATTACTATTTCAACAATGTAATGTTTAACTACCTTGAGTTACACTCTGTACCTAAATGCCTTTTTTTCCCCCTTTACTGCTGAATAAGGAAAGTCAGACCCAACAGGCGGGACCGTAAGAGGGGAAGCGTTAGGAAAAGCACCTCAAAGGCTCTGTGCCTGTCCCCAGCCCAGCTTGTGGCCCAGGAGAAGATAAAGTTCACCTCATTGTTCAGCCGTGTGAACCGCAGCGAGTCCTGGTTTCCCTGGGTATTTTTTTTCCCGTTCACTAGAATTGCAAAATTGGGATTATTATTGTAGAAACTTTAATAAAGAGTGCACAGGCAGTGGCCGCCCCTCCGTGCAGTGGGAGCAGCACCTGCAGCATCTGACCAGGCTGTGTCACCCACCGTGGCACAGGGCCCCCTGCTCCCTTGGTGGCTGTCCCCAACCGGGTGTCCCTGCTCGGGTGCTGCCACCGGAGCGACTGCCATTTCTGTCTCATCACAAAGCTCATCCCTTTGCTGAAGAGCACCGTGCTCCATTCTCCCCCCCCCTCCCCCCGAGAGATTTAGACTTTTTTACTCAAGCGCCTCTTAACTTAGGACCAAACATAGCCTGCTGCAATATTTCCTTATCCGACTTTATTGTTCTGCCACTGTACCAGCATATTTTATTTACAGCTCGAAACCTCAGCCTGAGACCGACAGGAGGATGGAGCCGGGAGTGAGTTTTGGCCGCGATGCCGGGGGATGGGCTGTGCGGCGCTGCCGCAGCTCCGACCGTGCACGAGCGAAAGGCTCCTGCGCTTTTGCTTCCTTGGCTGCCGAATCCGTCTCATTGCCCGTGGCACCCCTGGCCACGTCTCCGCGTACGTCTCACCCCAGCCACAGCCGGGCCATGACAAGTCACACATCTGCAACGGAGTTGGACCTATTCCCAATTTACTTTTTAATGCAGTATCACCAGAAAAGGTTAGTTAAAGGCTTTGGGCTGGTCCACACGTGAAGAAACTGGCCGTATGGTAGAACGCACTTGCCAGTCAGGAAGAAGTGATCAGAGAAGTGCTGACTCAGCAAGGCTTTGCCCCAGGGTGCCTGGGCTGACCTGACCCCCCTGTGCAGCTCGTGCCCGGTCACTGTAGGTGTCTGCAAGTGCCCGAGGTGGACGGGGGAAGACGAGCTGGGGTAGAGCGTGGTGCTCCCGTGATGCTCTCGCCTGGCAGGAGCAGCTCTTGAGCTGCTCAGGAGATCTGCTTTGTGCCGAGGGAGGAGAAACCCAGCTTCACCGAGGGTTTGGGAGTCACCAAGGGGCCCCAGAGGCATTTTTAGAGCCCCATTTCGCCGGACACCGGGGGTGTGGGAGGAAGCGATGCACTGCTGCCGTCGTGCAGCCCACCCCTGCTGCACCATCACACCCTCAACATCCCACCTCCGTCACTCCCACTCTGCCCCATCCTCACTGGGACAACGTCACGGGGCTTTGGTGCCCAGAATTGCTTATGAACAGATTAGAGAAGAGACAGGTTTACTTAATAAATAAATACAAATAACATACGGCAGGTACTAGCATGAAATATAGCAATATTCCTGTTGGAAGGGAGGCCAGGGCGTCTAGGGCTTGCAGCTTTTGGCTGATGCCAGTTTAGCTTAATACGCCGGGGATGTCGGCAAGCATTTAACCAGGCTGGCACTTGGTAACACGACTGGTGGTGCAGTCTGAAATTGCTTGAAGGGCATATCAGGTGCTACATACTTAGATGGATAAATACATTAATACAGAGTATCCGGGGAGGTTTGGGTTAGAATGAGTGGGGACAGTAGAAGTGTGTGTTTCCCCGGTACCCGGGGTGTCCTTGGGGTGTCCTTGGCCCCGTTTCTGGGTGCCTGCCCGGGGCGGGTTTGTGCGCATCCCCAGGAGCTGCAGCGCGGTCACGGCACACACTGACAGACGGCAGAGGGCAGCGGGAGTGGGGGCGCCGGGGACCCGGGGAGGGTGTTGGGGCTTTTCCCCTCATCTCTGCAAAGCTTCATGCAGAGTGGAGGAGCTCTGCTTCGTCTATTTTTGGTAAAGCCTTTGCCTAAAGCTCGGAGCTCTAACGTTTGGCTCTGCCATACCAGCCAAAAAGAGAGAGAGCGAGGGAGAAGGAGGCGGCGGCGGTTGGGGTTTGGGGTTCGGGTTGTCTCTGAGCTCCCGGGACGGGGCTTAGTCGGCCGAGACGGGCAGCGGGAGGAAGAGGATCGCCTTCTGGCCATAGTGAGTCCGCGGCCCCAGCTTGCTGTTCCCGTTCTTCTTCAGCCCTACAAACCAGTTCTTATCCGCGTGCTTTTTGGAGACGTACGTGTTGTAATGGTTTTCTTCGATCCTTTCAAGGAACAGGCACTCCTCACCCAGTAACTGCTAAAAGAGAACCCCAGGTAACGATGGTGAGATGCCGTGGGGAGGAGGATGCGTGTTCCCAATGCACAATCCCAGCTCGGGTGCTCCCTGGCTAGGATGCTATCCAGACCCACCTCTGAGATCTCCATATCCCAGTGGAGTTCACATTTAAAGCATGGAGGTAAGTCGCCTTGATTTAGTCCCCTGGGCTACTCCTCCAGCACCGTGTCCCTGACTCGGGCGTTTTATTCGGCAGTAACCGAGCCTGGGTGCCCTCCGTCAGCCGGTCCTGGCACCGGCTCCTGCTCTGGCACTAAGCTGTGCGGCGGCGGCGGCTGCGGGTTCAGAGCATCAACACGGGGAACAAAACAGCTCTTTGGTGAGGCTAAGCAGCGTGCGGCCAGGATTACGTGTCGCACACTTTGCTATAAATGGGACTATTCTCACAGACCCAGATTATATTCGGTGAGGCCGTGCCCTCCGGTTCCTGGGCACAGAGGGGTAAGCTCCCGCCTTGCATGATCCCGCTCGCACCGGGATGTTGCGGATGCTATCGCTGCCTCCAGCAAGGGCTCGGTGCAATCAGGATGCAGAAGAAAAATGCGAGGAGCTCTTTGCTCGGTGGCTGCGGGCCATTGCCTGGGGCTGCTTGCTCCGGCAGCCCCGAGCCGCCTGGCAAAGCAGTGGAGAGGCGGCAGGAGGCAGGCAGCGGTGCGGGCAAGGCGCTGCTGGGGCTGGGGGAGTCGGGCTGGAATGTCCCCAGCTCTGCGCCCTGCCGGGGTCCCCCTGTGGCCCCGCTTGCAGCGCCGGCAGCCACTGAGGGGATGCAAAAGCAGCCGCTGCTCCAGATATGAAATACAATATTTGTCGAGTGTCAGATAAGAAATCCGACATTTGTCAAGAGGCAGGGCTGTAAATGCTGTTATACGATTACTTCTTTATTTCCCCCCAAAATAAAGCTGGATGAAGAGTGGCCGTCCAGCTGCCAAAATAACAAACAGAGTCTAATGGTTGCTTGCGGTTTGCATTACTCAGAGCTACGAGATTTCTGCAAACCTCAAACCCTCTCCGTGTCTGGTCCCACATAAACCTCCTACTTACCGAGCCGTAGAGCAGCCCGTTGGTGTCCATCGCCAGGTACTGCCCAGACTGGGTGCTCTTTATATACACCTCTCCCACGCTTTCCGCACTTAGCTGGAGTTGGACTGAAAGTAAAAATAAAACAACAACAGAAATAAAAGGAAAATAGGAAAAAAAAGAGAGAGAGAGAAAAAAAAGATTGTCAGAGATAAAGTCCAAGCTGGTAGGAAAGTTAGCAGGGTATTTTTGTTCTGAAGCCCGGCTTATAAAGAGTTCATAGGAAAGTGTACAGCATGTAATAGAAGTGTCTCCTTGTACCCTCTCCTTCAAAGAAAGCCCACAGCCATGCTTTAGGAACCAAAGACCATTTTTTTCCTTATTTTACATCAAAGGAAGGGCAGCCTTTTGGTTAGGATGCTGGAATGGGACACAGGAGACTGGGGTTTTAATTCTGGCTCTAATTTACAAATTTCTCCTGTGGTTTTGACAAGACACTTAAGGAGTGACATATGAAGAAGGATTTTGAGAGCTAAACCAGGGATGGTCAGACTTCAGATGCCTGTGTTGCAAAACCTCGATCCAACGCAGCCCATCCAGCAGCGTGCCGCGGCTGGTGTTATCCGGTGCATCGTAGGCGGAGAGTGGCGAAATAGAAAGGTCTGGTCTTCATCCTAAAAAATACCTTCCGTAGGCAGCCACGAGTCACATCTCAGATTGTCCCAGTCTGCGGCGCTGACGTGAATTTAGTACTAAGCAGAGACGTGAGCCTGCCAGGGCGCAGGCTGGGCAGGGCGATGGGGTCGTGGGGATGCTGCATCGCTTCGCGCAGCCCAGCGGGCACTGGCGTTCCGTCCCCATGGCCAATGATGGACCTCAGCTAGAAACTCTGGGGAAAAAACCCTCCTTATCGGTCTCGTACTGCAGGAGGGGAGCAGGTCAGGGTGTCTGGGCCACCTCCCTCTTCTGCTCAGCGTCCCGTGCCTAGCGCAGCAGATCTAATCTTTCTATTTGTCTGGTTACTTCTTTTGTCCCGTGGGTTCCTTTTTTCCTACTTTGCTCATTACAGGAATCTTGGAGAATAATTAAAACTTGGCTCAAGTTCTTGTTTAATGTATTTATCGGGAAAAGGCAAAGGGAAGAGGCCATTTAGTTGAAGAGAAGCTTTGGGAGGACAGGTCTGGCACTGTGTGCTCAGGGGGAGCCCCGCGCTGCTCTCGGGGCTGGGCAGAAAAGGGAAGGCTGAGCAATGAGCGTCCCCGCCGGCGTGCGCAGAGGGCTGCGGTCAGAGCCAGAGTGGGGTTTGCAACATCCAAACGCTTCCAAATGAGCAGTCCCATCTCCCAGTCAGCCTTTTTTTCCTGAGCTTATACTGCAGAGGTTTGTAACAGAAATATTTAGGTTGGTTTGAATGAAGTACGAACAGATGGCTCAGCTCCAGCTTCTTCCTTCTTTTTTAATTTGTCCTTAGTTGGATGCGGTGAAAAGTAACATTACCTCTTGGCATGGCAGAAGCCCCCATCCCAGTGAAATCTTTGCTGTAATGGTTCACATTCTCCATTTTTTGGCATTTCCTG